TAATTTGATTTGAATTTTTATTTCCTTTTTCTACTCTTTGATGGTGGGGGGTGGGGAGGGGGGGACGTATTTTGGTCAGGGTGGTAAATTAATGTGAGGTTGTGGGGTGTGCGATAGACTTACCTCCACGTGGTGCACCCTGGGCAACATATACTCATACGGCAAAAAAGTCTATTAACCGGCAGTTGACTTCTGACTTCAAACTACCATCAACCCACTGTATGTCATATTCGACTACTTCCACAGTGCTCACCTCACCTTTTCTCCGCTCTTTTGTCTGTCTCTGTCACATCTGTAAATCATTATTCTGTCCACCCTCTCGACTTTTTGTCACTTTGATGTTCCTCCTCTCTGTGAAGCCTGAAGTCAGCTAAATGTCTAATGATAACTATCAAAACGCCTGCCATTTGAAATAAATAAATAAATGTGAGGTTGTTGATAGCCAATTAAAAAATAATCGTGCTGTCGCGTTGGCTTACAGGCTTGTGGTATTGTATTGCCTGGATGCATAAATCCATTTAGTCTAAATGTTGTAGTTTCCGTATCTCTTTGAGAGCTCTGCTTTACGATTGCACGTGACAAGGGCGTAAAATGTGTATTAGAGTAAGAAAGACAGTGGTGAGTTGGGAGTGTCGTGTGCCCATGCGTGCGTGCGTGCATGCAACCTGATCTATGGGGTGATTCTTAAAAAGTTCTCCAAAACTAGGTGGTTGGAATTAATTAAAGAGGGGCTAGAGAATTTGGAGTTTGATCTGGTTAAAATTTACTTATTTCAAATGACATGCATTTTGATAGTTATCATTAGCCCTTTAACTGACTTCGGGCTTCACAGAGAGGAGGAGGAACATCAAAGTGACATCAAGTCGATAAGAGGGACAGAATAATGATTCACAAATGTAAAAGAGACAGACGGACACAAAGGCAGGGAAAAGGTAAGATGAGTACTTTAGGAGGAGTTTAATATGACAAACAGTCGGGTCATGGTAGTTTGAAGTCAGAAGTCAGCTGCTAGTTTGCAGACTTTCCTGCCGTATACGTTGCCCAGGGTGCACCACGTGGAGGTAAGTCTAATATACGTTGCCCAGGGTGCACCACGTGGAGGTAAGTCTATTGAACATCCCGAATTGGTTAAAATGGGGTTGGAGGGGTGGTTGGGTGTGCCGGCATGGTTAACAATTTAGTTATATCAGTAGAATTTGACCAGTTGAGCGAATCAGAAATGATGAAGCATGGGTCATTTCGAAATGGTTCCTTGCTGCTATTTTGCCTCAATATTAAACATGAAATAGTCGAAGGTCATTTGGTGTCGTGCTCACCGTCAGTGGTGGCATGAGCCATGCTAATGAAGTCATTTGTCCTAAACTACAAGAGGTTATAACTGCTAAACAACATCATCTTTCATTACAATAGAATGGTATCGAATCAGTGAATGGGCTCATTACAACCAGCAGCAAAGCCTAGGCTATGCGAATTTCCTCGGTGCAATAGAAGTATCCGATGGTAATCCACGCGCTGGCAGTCTTAATTAAAAAGCCATATTTCATTTTGGACACATTAAAACCTGGCAAAAAGGTCGTTCGCGGCCTTTTTTAAGAGGCGAGGAGGTCAAGACAGCAGAACTAGAACTTTGACAAATGCAGTTGGGTTTCTCTGTGATTTCGAAAGTTGCTTTTGACACCCAGATTGATAGATTATGTTAGATTTTGCAAATTGTAACCATGACGACTGACCTTAACAAGTGCATCTGCTTCAATTTCATAGATCAGTACGAAATCAAATATTATGAATTAGTTATATTTTAAACTTTATTTTTACTTTGATTTCATTACGAAATACTAGGTTATAGCTCGTTATCTTGACGTATCAGTTGGGGTGCTTTTCTAGCCATCTTTTATAGCTATATATGAGGTGCTCAAATCTCACAAGAAAATCATATGATAATAAGTTATATGTATCACATCCTAACTAAAAGTGGTCTTTAGTGTCACCAAATATTAGTAGACAATCAATTTTGAAGCAAGTCCATTTAGAAGTTAGATCAGTGACAGTTCTAAAAATTTTTAATTTCAATTTGAAAAGGCAATTGCTATTAGGATGTGGGGTTTAATGTGCCTAACCATCAAAATATTTACCTAACCCACAGTCAAATCGTCAAATACCTTAGCACCCTAAAATCACCATCATGTCTGTTCATTAGATAGTTTAATAAAATGAAACGAAATAGAATAATTTAATTCATATTGGTTAAGAAGTTCAAATATCGCTTATATTTTGGTACAACTTTCCATGCAAAATATGCTCGTTCAAATGAATAACGATTTCATAGGGTCACTATAATCGGCTTCGATTTTTCAAATTGCAATTTACAACGAGAAAATTAAATTATTTGTTAATAAAAGTTCATTCAAGATATTTTTCAAACGTGCTTGAAAGTGGATAATGGTGAAAATCGCTTAATTTCGTTGATATGTCAGATCTATGGGTTTTAAAAATTGAATAGTTAAATCAAGTTGAAGATACAAATAAAATTTCAAGTTTGCTTTAAAAGGCCATGGACCGCATATGGGCAAATTATACTTTTAAGTATAATATATCGAATTTATGTTTTAATAAATTTCACCATTATTACTCATAATCTATTAGAAAAGGGTATTCACATTGCAGGTTTAAACATGGGATAGGCTGAACTCAGATCTTGCATTATAACTCCATATATTTCATCAAAATTCTTAAAAATTTATAATTTGAACATATTATTTATGCTTGAATGACTTTCTCTTTTTGCCCATGAAAAGTGTTCTAACTTTTCGATTAATCAGCGCCTACTTTAGTAGCTTCAACATTGAGTGCCGAATACCAAGTTCGGCTGCCTGAGATTTTATTCTAAATTAACGTGATAAATTGATGTTCGCTGTAAAATGGTTGCAAAAAAACGTATGTGTAATTATAATAATAATACTTGAGTTAGAAACAAGAACCAACTATTCAAATTGATGACGTGGAAATTCGTATTAGTGGTGGTTTCTCTAGGGGAAATGTATGGTTTTTGTAATTTTTCATGAACAATTATTTTAATAGAATGAATCTACACTAATTGGTCTGGAGACCTATAATCCCTCAATTCTTAAGGAAATTATAGACGAGATAGACTCGAAATATTTTTATGCTGCAATCGATTGTAGTGAGTATGAAATGCAGGTAATTCGTTTGTAGTGTGTGAGTAATTACCTTTTAGCATGTTCTCGCTAAAAACTTTCGCGATCAGACGGCGCTGACAGAACGAATTCATCTACTCGAAAAACAAAATGACGCCGTTTGTCGACAGCTCTCACATCTTATCCTTGAAAAACAGCCTCATTACCAAAGGGAACTTGCAAAAGTTCTTGAACTTCAGGAAATCAATGGCACTGCTTATGAAGAATGCATTGAAGCTAGACGCTCTTTGGAAACTCTCATGCGTTGCATCGTTGAACCACGAGCCATTGTGATTCGCAATAGTAGGAGACGACTGCGTTTAAAGAGCGTTCTCGAAACTCTTAAGAAGATTCAAGCCTTACAGAACAGTGTCAAGAATGTACATAGATTAATTTCGAATCACAAATTCTGTGAGGCTATTTCTATGCACCGGAAAATTTGTCAGCTCACTGATGACTTCAAAACTTTCAATTGTGCCGAGTTTGTGGAAACCTCTTAGTAACTAATTCGTACCCTTTTTCCGTAGGTCTTTGCAGCAATCTCTTCGAGCTGTTAATGTGAAGATCGACGACACTCTTGACAACGTTCTGGCTGAGAGCTGTGAAAATTTTAATCCCGGATCCTACTCTCTTATTCAAAAGGCCTATGAGTAAGCAATAACACTCATATTTTGTGTTTTTTTTTAATGCTTTCAATAAATTAAATTCTATTTTTTACTTCTGTTGTATTATTTATTTATGCAAATGGCGTATATTTGAGGTTTATCATGTCCGCAGACCAATATTTTCGAAGTGTTTAACATATCCAAGGCCAAAAATATTTCTATGTTGTTAAATTGCATCATATTTATGTTTAAAAGTCATTGTACATCAACCAATACTTTAGGCATCAATTGTTTAGGGTTGTAGAAGAACCATTATTATTACGCCTGCCAAACCTTTCTAGAAGAATCAGTTTAATTGAATTTGCCCATTTACTTGACCAAATATTATTTCGCCTTCTTTTAAATTTTACAGTGAAGCGTTCTATCGAAAACCATTTTTTCATATCATTGATTCGGATATCATATCATTAAACGGATGAAAAATCCGGTTGCATTTCATTTTACTATTGCAGCTCAGCTGCTAAGCCAAAAATAATTTTATTTTTTGCATTTTGACTACTTTCACGGCAATAGCTCCTAGTAATCGAATTACCTGCTACTATTTTTTATCACAAAGGTGATTCTCCTCTTCTATAAAATCGATATCGGATTTCCACCATTTTTGCCAATTTTTTTTCAGGCGTCTTGGAAGCACAATGACAATTGTGGCACAACTTCAACTGCACTACACTGCGAAAATCCACGAGAGAGCGGCCAAAGTTGTTGTGGAATTCACTGGAACCAGTTATTCAGAAGATCACAAAAATATTACTGAGTTCGAACGCCTATGTGAAGTATGTCCCTTGATTACAAACCATTTTTTAATGAATGAAAAAGGTCTTACAACTTTTTTTGCCAGGTGTAAAAATTGAAATCCGTACAAATGTGGAAGACGGATTAGTTTAAGAAGGAGTTATCAGTGATCTCATACTTACAGGCTTACTTAAGTTAATATATCTTTATTTTATTTCTGCGTTATCTTAATTAAAATATTTTTTCCATGATAGTTGCTACGTTTTTTACTATTTTTTTACTATTGCGCTTTTAAAAACTCATCCTGAAACAACGAATAAAAAACATTTAGATTCTAGTATTTTATTTCACTATACAAGATCGGATTTAATTTCGATTTGAAACCTTGATTATCATCATGAAATTCATTCCGACGGGTTGAGTTCCATGGAACTTTTCCTCAATTTCCAGAACTTTTTGATCACGTTGATTAGTCTGAATGATTGATTAAAACCAATTCTATATATTCCCTCAAATGGAGGAAGGATCATCTAGTCAATCTTGTGAACTCTTCATTTAGTTCAATTAATGAACCAAATTTTCAATTTGCACTCAAGTTCATGTAATGACTTCTGTTACCTAAATTGATTAAAATAAATAGCAATTATTCGTTTAGAGGACTAAAGATTTGTTTAATTCCCTACTTTACGCATAGTAATGAACGGCTCATTATATCGCTAGGCTTTCTACAACCCCTTATTCAGCCTTCAGTTGAATTCGATTGTATGAACTATGGATAAAAATTTATATATTTATTTCAAATGGCAGGCGTTTTGATAGTTATGATTAGCTATTTAGCTGACTTCGGGCTTCACAGAGGGGAGGAAGATCAAGGTGAGAAAAAGTTGAGCGGGGGGGGGGGGGGGGGAGGGAACGGAAGAATGACTCACAAATGTAGAAGCGACGGGCAGATACAAAGGTGGAGAAAAGGTAAGGTGAATACTGTGGAAGTGGTCCAATATGGCACACAGTTGGGTCATAGTAGTTTGAAGTCAGAAGTAAACTGCCGGCTTATAGACTTTTTGCCGTACGAGTATGTGTAGCCCAGGGTGCACCACGTGGAAGTAAGTCTATCGCACGCCCCACTATGGATCAACATCAATTCAGGTAGATTCCCCTGGAGCGTGTATCGGACTCAAATCGAACTCAATTCTTTCAATTCATTACATTTCAAAATATTTACATTTCCACTACTTCAGTCAAACATCGCTATCTTAATCGTTTGAACTTCCCATTATATACGACTAAATTGACAAAAGATTTCGACCCTTTTTATCTGTTTTAGAGTCTTCCAGTTAATTCGTTAGTCCGGGTTCTCTCCAAATTAGCCAAAGCGCTTTGGTCCATCCTTGTTTGCTATCATAGAACAGCACTCTGGCACGAATGTGCAGCTAAAAGTGTGAAGGATGATACCAGAGATACCGATTCTGCCATTAATAACGATCAAGATCTTGAGAGTGAGTTGGAAGTGATCCATGGTCCTGAGATGGTGCGACAGTGGCATGGATATGTCGCCTCGAAATTATCTCCTAATCGAGGTCGAGTGTGGATGGATGTGGTGTCCAGAGTGAAACCCCTTCTCTCTTCCATTGCAAACAACGCCAAACAGCTTGGATTCGAGGAGATTGTGGCTACCCTGAACATTGTCAATTTGTGAGTTGAAATTTTAGCTTATACCGACTCGGTTTTGCGACAACGCCTATGCACTTAAACACTAAGGATTTCAGCAAATGGCCATGAATATGGTTGCTAAGTAAATATAACGTTAAGTTGAAATTTGCGGTTCGAGTAAAGAGCACATTAAAACAATATCTCGAGTCTACTGAATTATTCCCTATGGCGGGCAAAATCAAGATTTTCTTCTGATAACAAGGATATCCAGATGTGTTAACAATGTTCATGCACAATGCGCTTCTTTTGAAAGTTTGAACCCTTACTCATTCACAAACGTGATGACAATGGCAATCTTTGACAAGTGAGAATTACTTGTGGCACGATGTTTTGCGACGACCGTCAGAGTAAGGAGATGACGATTACTGGTCAATTCTTCCTGAACATTGTTAAAACGATTTGTCTTGGAATGGAGGATTGCTGGGATTAGAAGAAAGAAAAATTACAGATGATCTGATCTTGAATCGGAATTGAAGTTTTGTCATCAAAGTTAATTAAATATTTCATCCTTTACTATGACATTTGCGCTCAATGAAAATCATTGCCACTTCAAGTTCATACAAGCGTAGCAGAACTCAACTTTTTACAGAATTGTCATGCAAAAAAAGGTCTGATACGCATTAAGAAATTTCTGACCAAAGTGAAGTACCTCCTTGAAGCATTAAAAAAACCTGATTCTTTTCCATTGGGACACACATATGTCAAGATGAAAAACACAATGACTCAAAGATACTCCTCAATTCCTACAGATTGAGCCTGTATTGCACACTAATGGTGCAACTGCGAATCTAGCTCGCAATTGGCTAATTTTCTTGCCTATTGATTTTCCTTTCAATCGATTAACTTCTACAGTTGTCAATCGCCTTCTCTCTTCTTATGAAAATGCCGAATTTATCTCCAGCCAACTAGTATAGTATATCAGAAATTTTAGATTGGATGCAAAATAAATATATATTATCAATTGGGAAGAAAACTACAGTTTAGTTTATTATTGAGGTTATTAAACGGATTTATATTACCACGGTTTTTATCGATTGTCATTGGTCATTTTCTTCATTAACGCTTGTTTTCGTTTCAATTTGATCGCATTTTTTATTGCAATTTACTTAGACCGAAAAAATATACTTTGGGAAAATTAACCTTCATTTAGAATAACGTTTTCATGAAATGTTACTATGAATTGGTACCTTAATGTCGAATAGATTTGTTAGAAATTATGTATCTAAACTGACAGATTTTGAACTTAAAATGCTGGCATATTGAAATGATTTCCTTTAGACTCGTTCGAGTTGGCAAAGAATTCGCCGGCCACATGTCATTCGATCTCCTCGAAGTTCTGAAAAATTCGATTCGTGGTTTCTTCGGTGAATTCCATCGAAAACACATGGAGCGTCTTTGCCTCTTCTTGGATCACGAGAGTTGGGAATATGTTCCTGTGCGGCATGGTTTTTCTCTTCGCGATTTACACGTGCGTTTTTCTCTCATTATTGCGGGATTATCAATGCTTATTTTTTTCTAATGGAGTCAAGGTCACAAAAGTAGTATCAGTCAACGCGAGTTCATTTGGGTGGGTGTGTAGCCGACTGCCATGGGTGAGGCAAGTCAATAAGGGAAGCGGTAGAATGTGAATTGTTCTTTCCATGTACTGCTCCAGTTTAAGGTGTTTTATTTTTTTGCGTGTAATCTTGGGAACACTTGGCTAATTCTTGCTTTTGATCGGCTAATTTCATTATAGGAATTCAATCCTTTGGCTGAAATCTTTGAGCAAAGTGAAGAAAAGCCTAACGCCACCGATTCCAGTACATCGGAGTAAGTTTATCCTCTAATTTAATTAATTATGGCATTTCCTTCCTCTCTCCTTCTGGCCTTGACCTTTATGCTTTCAGCACTGTTGGCATCACGTATCTATTGAAGTTGACGTTTCACATATTGTTATTATTATTATTATTATTATTGTATTTGCGGTGATCTCTCTAAGTAGTAAGCCTTCTCTCTGTGTAGCTTTTTTGCATAGTTGAGATCGCATGCCTAGGAACATTGTATGATATGAACAATTTGCTGACAAATCATCAGCGGCTAATTTTGACAATCGCTGGTTCATGAGCTCTAAGGGTTGAATGGAACCCAAAGTCTGCTGTATGACAGTGAGTTAAATGCGTTCATGCGTATGAAACTCGGTGGTACTAGAAGAGATAAAGAGTGAGTGAGTGAGAGAGAGAGAGTGAAAAACGCAAGCATGCGTCTGAGCATCTGTCTTTTATAAAAGCGATTTCATAAAGTTTCATAGAGATGGAGAAGCACAAACGATTGGAATGGGTCCGGACAAAGTCGATTGGGGTTGGTGATTTCTAGCAATGCTCACCCAAAGAACTCCTTATTGACTCATTGCGCTAATAAACGTAGACCTCTTAATGAGGACACGCGATGTTCTCTACGGGGATCTTGAGGTCACTAGGAGATTGAGTGCTTCAAGCATCGCCAGTGACACTACGAAGTAGGCATCATTAGGGTCCCGCGTATTGGTGATGACCTAAATGAAGATTTGTGCACATGTGTTGCTAGTTGTTGTTCTTTGTGATTTCGTATCTGCACTTTGCAAATTCAATAATCAACATGTGGGCGCCCTTCTACTAACCACATTGGGTGGTCGTTCATTAGCACCTTCGTTTTTTGCAGTACTATGCTTTTTTAGATTGTTCCACAATGAGATATTTTATTTATTTCAAATGGAGGGCTTTATGATAGCTATCATTAGCCCTTTAGCTGACATCGGGCTTCACAGAGAGAAGGAACATCAAAGTGAGAGAAAGTGGAGAGGGGGGGGGAACAGGAGAGCGTTTCAAAGATGTTAAAGAGACAGACAGACACAAAGGATAAGTACGGTGAAAGTGATCGAATAAGACATACAGTGGTGTCATGGTAGTTTGAAGTCAGAAGTCGACTGCCGGTTTGTAGAATTTTTTTGCTGTATGAGAATATTCTGCCCGGGGTACACCACGTGGAGGTAAGTCCGTCGCACACCCCACAATGAAGTATTGTAATACGTCTCAGTCTGCCCGATGCTATTTTCTTCATCTGCTGAGTGCTTCTACATGATCCATTTTTTTCATTTATTTCACCAATTCTGCTAAACTCCGGGTTCTTGACATTATAGGCCTGTATCTCCAAACCGCGAAAAGATTTTCATAGAGCCCTATGAATGCAAATTCTTTGATCTGGATCTTCGTCCCTCTGAGGAGACGGAGGTGAAAAACGTGGAAGGATCCACATCTCTTTCTCCCCAGGCTACTGTTAACGGTGTTGTAAGTTGTCAAGATTCGAAATTTCTCAAGTTTTAGTTTGTCTCCTTAACGCTTAGGACTTATTTCAGGATAATGATAAACAGGATCGTTCGTCGCATAACACTGCTTCAAATAATCCCATCCTTGCAAGCACAACAATTGAAGTTTTACGTCTACTAGGTAAATGCTTGGATCGTATTTTTAGTACTGATTTTTGAGAAATTTTGTTGTGCATTCTACGCCTTTAGCTATCTTCCTGTTTCTATTATTACTCATGGAATAGTTTTTTATGGCTACTTTATTAAGGAATAGTCAGTATTTGTTTGACACTATTTTGCTTGTGACCTTTGAAGGAGTCGTGAAATTTTCTGAAGGAGCTCCTTGATCTCTCCATCTCTCTCTCTCTCTCTCTCTCTCTTCGTCTTTAGGTCGTTACATTCAAATGATGAGGCTCCTGCGTCCCATTGCCAGTGATGTTATGCACAGCATTGGCCAAATATTCGATTACTACCTCTATGTGGTGAATTTCTTTTTCCCGCTTCTTCTCATTACCTCCCCCTCCCCCCCCCCCCCCCTCTGTCTCTCTCAGAGGCGTAAAAATTTTATCCTCTCCACCATTTCCCTTTTAGGTCTACTGCCTATTTGGAAGGTCTCTCGTAAGTTCTCCATACTTGTCAATTTCCGTTTAAATTACAACTCTCCTTACGCCATATTTAAATACATTCAAACAAACTTTGAATTGCCGTATGGAAAGAACAATGAGCATTCTCGTGTCAATTGCCCAGAAAAATGGGCGAATATTTAAAAATTTCTCGGGAATAAAATTTCTCCCTAGGTATCGCATCGTTAGTAATGGCCTGCGAAGTTGCCATCCAATTAATTATACATGAATAGATTATCCACCTCGAAATTTTGAAAGGGGTGTTTACGATTATTCCCGACTAAAATATTAATTTTTTATTTATATCAAATGAAAATCTTTATGGTAGTTATTATTAGCCCTTGAGATTACTTCGGGCTTCACAGTTAAGAGGAACAGACAAAATCACTAAAATGTGGAGCTGGGGGGGGGGGACAGAAGAGTAATTGATAAATGTAAGAGAGATAGTCACAAAGGTAGAAAGAAAAGGTAAGGTGAGTGCTGTGATGGTGGGTCATAGTAGTTGAAGTCAAAAGTCAACTGCCGGTCTATTAACTTCTTTGCAGTACGAGTATACGTAGCCCAGAGTGTATCACATGGAGTTAAGTCTATCGTAATCTCCCCCCTCTGACTAAAATATAATTTAAACCATATTTGAGGGCAACAGAACTACATGGAAACCTTGTCTCACTGCAAGCGGTTTAGGTATGTAGCGCATTGCTACACGAACAAGCCCTGACTTATTGTCAGTAATCTCTATGGCAGCAACCCCTAGTATGGAAAAGGTTCCGAAATTAACTAAGTTGCCTCAAAGATGTGAGAAGATGTGTGTCACTGACATAGAGATTAGCCATTAAATATGATTTCGGCTATTGATTGTCGATTGTCTGAGAGGTCTCTGATCTCACAACCGCACACGCACCCTCACATGATCACCAGCATGTTCGTACTTGATGACTACGGGATAAGTTACACACCGTTTGTTCCAGAATGTTCTAGCACGAACGAGGTTCTTCACTTCAGCCTCGTAAGCGTTGTGCTCCCCATTGGAAGCAATAGGTAGGTTAAGAACACCCCCCACCCTTTAGTAACAGATTATGGAGATAATTTCAATAAATTAAGCTGTAACTTCATTAATTTTGTATTTACGGATATGAATAGGCTTCTAAGGAGGAAACAAACCAACTACCTGAACATCTGCGAAAAACTCTCACACGAATATCTACCCGATTAATAGCTTCAGCAGGCCATCCCTCTGTCGAAAATGGCGTAAGAACTACTTGTATACTATTTGAGTACCATTCGCTCTGTCTTTTATTGCTTTGCTTTTTAGAGTCGTTTTGTCGCTCCTGATTGCATTATTCCGAGTTCTTCTAAAGCCCAAGATGTTTCAACCACAACTTCCCTCCAATTGGCAACTATGGATGATATCAACAGTTGCCTAAGGCGACATATTGTGGGAGTCGAATCCTTGGTATATTTGGCTAGCGTTCTTGAAAAGGTGCGTAATACTTTGCTACTATTGGTATATAAGTAGATGTACAATACTGAAATGGTCAAAATTGTAGGATTTACTTCCGCATATTCGAGAATGTCTGCCTGAGAGCAAACGGGGACTTTTGGGCGCCTTCAGAGATCAATCGCTTGTCACTACGCTTGAAGTTCGTGAGACAACTGCACGTTTCCTTGCCTCTCGTGTTCTGACACAACTTTTTGCTCTCCAGGGGTAGGTGGTTAATTTTTATACTCTTCTTGGTTATGTAATGAATTAATTGAATTACGGATTAACATGATTAGTCATTTTCTACAGAAATTAATTGCCCAACACAATTCTAAGTAGCCACCATATAGATGTTCAGGTCTGTTTGTTGAATCATCTCGTCTCAAGCTCATTTTTGAATAATGTTAACACTGAAATATTGACAGACATGCTGACATTTAGTGCAAAGCATATTGAAGCAGATTTATGTTAAATCAGTCTACAACAATCTTTGAGTTTGTTAGGTTGATTTAGGAAATAGGTGTACCTGAAAATAGCAACTCAAGTAATGAGATAAGTGGAAAGAATATGCGAAATTTGAATGAAAAGGGAGTCATCACCGCACGAATGGAACCCAAGTCGTGTTTATTAAGTTAAATCAATGCAAACTGAGTGGGTATTGATTGGGGCTGTTTTATTTGTTTAAATGAGCAATCAATTAAAACGCATCATCTGGCATATACGGTAGGCAGAACTATGAGTCATGATGTAGTCAAGCTTTTTATTCCCCCCTTTCAAGTCACAACAAACAGGACACTAAAATCGATTCAGCCCACCTTCTGCGTCAGATGATATCGACCAACCCTGGCTGGACATCAAAAATTGTCGCGACAGAACCCAGTGCCTATCTACAATCAGTCAATGCTGTCATATTAAGATTCTCCTCTATAATAAGGTCCTGTTCGGAACCCTGTCCACCACAGCAAGCTGTTAAATCTCTCTGGATGGGTGCCATGGCTTTTATTTCTGCTGAATTCTTGGAAGGTTTGGCAGGAGTGAATGATTGTACAGAAGAGGGGAGGAGTCAAATGCTTCTGGATGTTCAATCAACTGCACTGCTCTGTGAGACGGAGTCCCGTATCAGGTTGGTAGGAAGTTGATTGGAGTGCACAGTGTTAATGTATTTCACTTCCATTTTCTTTTTGGTTATTTGTAGGCAGTTTGTGAACTTGAACCTTCTGGTGGATTACATCCAAGCCTACTTTGTTCCAACTCGAGATTTCGCAAATTGGTTGGAGACTACAGGAGTTAATAGATATACTCAGAAGCAGAGTCAGGGCCTGGCGAATTGTCTAGCCCGCGGGGATAAAAATATACGACAGAGGCTTCTGGCCACAGTGACCTCGGCATATGCCAGGTACTACCAACAGACGTCTGCCCTTCCACCTGGTGCAAGTACAAATGGAATCGATTTGCATGCATAATTGTCAGTCTAATTCATTCCAGCGTTCTGTGGTCTTCTCTCATTGTGATAATTTACGTCTTTCCAACTTTTTTCCCTACATTCCAATAACCCACTTGTCTAAATTACTTGTTTTATTATGCTGAGTGCCCAGTTAAGCTCAGAGTTCTCTTGAGTATATTGTACGGCGTTATCATAATTCACTTACTTGTTTTGTTGTATTCGATTTCATGGCAATCGAAAGAAAGATAAAATACCATGAAGTAGGCGGGTGCATAAAACGCGCCTGATCTAGTTCAATGGACTTTCATCCTGGCAAAATATTATTGGTGTTCAGAATTGGATCCGCAAAGGAAAAAAAAATAAAACAAAATTTTTTTTCGCCGATTTACATTTCACAATGAACTAGGAAAACTGATTGCGCATTAAATTGGCGTTCAAGTAATGTTCTATATTTGAAGATAATAATCATTTGCACAACGCCCTTAGGACCGTGCGGACCTCTTTCAAAATAAGATCCATTGGTACTAGATTCATAACAGAAGGTACTATTGCCGATTGAAACATGTGCAATACGTCTGTAGTCTTTGCCAGTTACCGCCAAAATACATCACGTCGGCGGCATCAGTCTGCTGTGCGACACACGATGAATGCATTTTGTAAAATGGATTCGGGTTTTAAAGGGTTGAGATAACCTTAAGGTCCAAACTTCACAGCGCTAAATTTATGGGACTTTTAAAATACCGATCAGCAATCATAGTCAAATTTAGTGTCAAAGCTCAGAGTAACAGAGAGGTATAAGTTGTCGAAATGAGTTGTTAAACATCTAGATATTTACCAAATTGGCAAGACTTATAATTGCAGAGTATATTAAATGCTCAATTGAATAGAAAGTTCGATTTTATGAGGATTATTTAAGATTTGTTTAGAAAAATGCCTAAAAAATTCCAAGCGGTCAGTTGTGCAAAGGCAACAATGAAAGAATATTTGTTCTGATTTTAGGAAGTTCATAGTTCTCCCTTAAAACAGTTCCAGAAAATAGCTATAGTATTTCGTTGTGTTAAAAAATGCGATATACCACCGATAAAGACCAATTAAAGTAGTTAAATAATTACTGTTAAAAGTATTCGCTTAATAAATCAGAATGCTTTTCATATTTGAATAGCATAAGTCACGAAATACCTTGTATATAATATAATTGAAAAAGTGAATTAAGATAACCCAGCTTTTTTACAATGGTAATAGAGAGTGTTGTCTATTTTTAGTACTTATAAGCAGGAGGAATTTTTAGCATTGATAAACTATAAGTAGAATCTAAATTGATTATATTGTCTGTTTTGAGCATACCAATCGAATTATATATATGTATAAAATTAGTTTTCTTTAAGCATATTCAAGTTTAAAACCCTGTAATTTAATACATTTTAAATGGGCATTTTTTGGTTTTTATATATTATCAACAATCATTTCGACTCTACGTTCTAGGTCATCTAGAGAGTTTTGGCTTATTACGATAATTAACCCCGTTATACAATCAGATTTTGGGTTTCTAGATTTATAATGTCACAATGAGTCGAAAAGCAAATTTAGAATCGGATTCTAAGTACAGAGCATATTCTGCTGCAATAGATAAATGTCTAAAATCGTTTGAATATTCAAATGAATGGGCTGATCTTATTTCCTCTCTCGTCAGGCTAATGAAGGTTATTCCAATATAATATTAATCGTGTTATATTTTCTTAAAACCAAAATTTTACATTTTATTGATAATAAATTAATGTATTTTTGTTGGTATAGTTAATTCAACAATATGATCGCTATGATGTAATCCCCAAAAAGCGCTTACTGGGCAAGCGTTTGGCTCAGTGCCTTCATCCTGCACTACCTCCCGGCGTCCATTGCAAAACTCTGGAATGCTTTGAGCTCATCTTTCCAATAATGGGTTCTGATAATTTGGCCGCTGATATTGGAATTTTTGGGCCATGCATTTTTGGACTTCTTGGACCTTCGGCAATGACTGTCAAACCTCTTCTCTTTAATTTATTTGAAACTTATTTTCTGCCTCTCGGTGATAAACTCCATACCTCATTTTTGGGTCTTTTACAGGTTTATAAAGAAAATTTTGTATTTACTTTTTATTCAGGGTCTTTTACCAGGTCTAGAAGAAGGGTCTGAATTTTTCGATCGCGGAAATATTGTTATTGAAAAGTTTTGCAAAGTTGTTGGTCCGGAATTCTTCTATAGTTCTCTTTGGCAGGTCAGTATTCAGTTTTAAATAAATTCTCTATGGCTTAATTTTTTTTATTTGTTTGAAATTTTCAAACAATCACCACTGTTTGATTTGATTGGTCTAATTTATGATACGTCGTTCATTGATTGTCTTAATTATTATACGTTGTCAGGAATCTTAGTCGAACCATTTTATCACACCTTAATGACTCGTTCTTAAATTAGGCAATAATAAACGTCACAATTTGAAATTGTTTTTTTTAATGCTCAACATACTCTAGTTTTCGTCGTTGTAAAAAATCCAACTTGCTTGAAATATATCGACTGCATTAAACTAATTATGTAACTACGTGGTCTAGTTGTTTTTTGCAATTTGAGGAAGATAGGATTCTCAGATTCCCTTTAACATTTAATTCTTAATTATATTTGTTGTTTCACATGTATTGTTTTTAATTTCACATTGTCTCACGATGATCTAGGGTTTTCTTTAAGGTAATTTTCGATCAAAGACCCTAGTATGTATATATGTTAGGCATCTGTACTTGCTTGTAAGTAGGCATTGCCTTTTTATTGCCATTCTTTTTCATAGTATACTGAGTGAAGCTGATTCGAACCTTCAATTAGTGAAGGGCTCATTGGCTAGTGTGTCTTACTGTTTGCCTTTTCCGTTTAAAAGCGCAATGTAATTGGAATTGGTTTCCTATAGGTCCTTATTCAAGCACCATCAGTGCGACATTTTGGTACTGCTTATATCCTCAATCACTTCAACAAAAGACGGCACCTTTCAACTCAGGCTTATGTATTTGGAAATTCTACATCTATTCTAGTGAGTTTGCTTTTGCTCATTACCTAATCATTATATAAATGCCTACTTCAACTTTGATAATGTAGATTTGAACAGATCCTACCTCACTTATGCTATGTGATTTCATCTTTACTTTGTCACTATTTGAGCAGTGCTTAATAAAATGGACTTTGTTCTGACCAGACGTCTCCTCCATTTCCCCCTGTAATATGGTCCCCTTAGCAATGCCTGAATACCTCTCTTTATTAGATTGAAATTTATTAATGGTAAGGGCGGTTTTACCAAAAGACGTAGAATTCTCCATTTACCAATGATTTACTTTGGGTGGCTATTATACCTTTCTTGAGAGGGCTATTCAAGGTTTTTGCGTTGTTTATACCTTGTAAAAATCTGAACTCCTACGACCCACATCTACTGAGGCCAGTGGAATAATGACGATATTAAAGGACCTGTTTTTAAATCTGACTATTAAAAGAGAATGAGGATGTATGCAATTTGGGAAGTGATTGAATAGCGATCCAATTTCTCTTCTGCCTTCTCGAGCACTGCTGTCAGCGCCTATCTTGCAGACTTGCACACTTTCAACCTGCCACAGTTGCAGATAAGGCTCACATAATTAAATTTTTTTTGCCTTTTTTTCTATGCGAGTCTCACGAAGTTAAGCTACTTATCGTCTTTTTTGCGTAACTATGTATTGCATGTTCATTTCCTCCGTCAACATTTTTAATGTTATACCAAGGTGATTTTTTACGTATTTCCCTTATTAAAATACCAATTCAGGGAGAGGGAGAGAGTTAAATGGAATGCCCAAGTATTTGCGTTTCTCCGCATAAATCGAGTACTTATAGTCCCCAATGCCTCTTTGATTCTTAGCCAATTTCCTGAAGTCATTTATTGTAGTTCTCCTATCTTCAGAGGGGTCAGAAAATATCGATACTTTACCAACCCTACACATCTAGTGAAGTGGATTAGCTAATGCCTGGACTAAGATTCCAGAAAGTGGAACATGGGGAGAGAGAGAGAGCTGTGTTGGCCAAAGAGTGCGTGTAGTGAGAAAACTACGATGAGCGTTCGATAGAGGGCGATGATGGAGAGAGGAGATAGGAGATAGGGGGGGGGGGAGATGAGAAGGAAACGTGCGAGCAGATAAGGGAAGATCATGAAATTGCGGTTCACATGAGCCAGTTGGACATGAACGCGCGTAAAGCTGGAAGTAGTGATGTACTTTTAAATGAAACGGGTCACATATAGGGAGTTGGATAATCGATAAGCTCGTCTAGACATGAAAGTTAGGGTTTCGAGTCATAGGGATATATAAAACTTGCCTTATTTCGCTTTACTTTGGGAAATAATTGCAGTAAATGATAGTTCTTTGCGCTCTCTAACTATTTTGGTGCTTATTTGGGAAAAGGCAAGATTCAGTGATGTACATATGTCTGATGGGGAGGGAGTCTATCCTGTATATAAGGAAATGTCCCTTGGTCGTTAATTGTGGCTCCTTCCCGGGCTTCGGGGAAGCCTGTGCGTTTATTGTCTCTTCTTCAATGTTGGATATTCGTGGAACCTGGATGTTTTAGTGAATTAAGAGATACAGGCTTTCCGATTGGTTTTTTAGCTTATAAACTTACGCCTTTCGGTTTCATTACATAGAGGCCCAGCGCGTGCCCAATATGTCCTTGAAATTCGCGCCGATGTATTCCTATTGATTGAAAGACCCTCACAACCAGGAAACACCTTCAAAGAGTCCATTGTTCAGAGGCTTCAGTTTATCACTAGTGAGCTTAAGCTGATACCTGATTAAAAGGGGGTCCATGAAATATCGAATTAAGTCCCAACTTAGTCCATGAAAAATCGTTGGAAAGAGCGACAGTTGCGAAGGTGTTCGCATTTGGGTTCTCGGCTATTAACTTGTATCAACAAGCATCTTCAGGACATTCGCATGTTGGTTTTAAGTCCAAGACCTCCGTCGTTCTGAAAACGGCCCAATCAGAGTTCCTCATCGCAATACGCTAATTTCACCTCGGGTGGCGGCTATAGGTACTACTTTACTTCTCTCTGCTTTCAATTTGAACGGTCCGCTTTGTAACTTTAGCTGGAAAGCGTCCGGTGTTTACTGGGAGATGCAGTGGTCTTGGTACAACGAGACACCCTAGATTTCGTTATCCTCACCCTACCTGTCCATCTGGTGGCGTCCGGCTCGTCGTCATCATCATCTACGAAACAACCGGTGGTTAATTACAATCAACATCCCCTAGAGGGCAAGATCTCCTCCTCTGAGATGCGAGATCTCGTTGCTGCGTCGTTGGCAGTTGTGTTGAGGAAAGACGCCTCGTTAAATAGACGTCTCTTTATTTGGCTTCTTGGATCGCAGAATATGGAGTCAGCTGACGCCTCTCAACATGCCACAACTGTGGCGCGATTGGCTCTCCCCTCAAGCGAGGTAAGCTCGGTTTTTCTCTCTCTCCTCTATGAGGCTCTTGAAGTGTGTCACTCATGATATATTTGCCTTGTCTTACTCATAGGACACAAAATATCTTATTTACCTTCTGTCTGTCAGATTAATGAATCATGGCCGCTTGTATTCGCTGTACATAGATGTTTTCAGTCCATCTTCTGACTTCCGGGATGGGGCAATTATTGTGAGAATCCCAAATTGTCACCACGGCACTAAAGACTTCTTACTTCTTGAGTAATTTAGCGTCTCTCTAGAGCAGAGCTTTTAGCCACCTCATCTTTAACTAACAGAAGCCATTAGGAAATGCTAATTTCATGCCACGATGACCTTCTCACGGCCCCCTTCCCCCCTCCTCCCCTTCTTGGAAAATAATCACCTTGTATGTGCCCATACTGCTATTAACAATTTGTTGTTCAGGGAATATGTGAAATATTTTTAATCACTAATCTATCAACTTCAATGTGATTTGGATCATTTGGTCGTTTTACACGACTTATTTCTCAGATGATACTGTCCACTCTTTACTTTTTGCACCTTTTTTTGTTCAATTGGTGATTCTCTTCACCAAGGTAATGCAGCGAATTTTGGTAGTTAATGGCAAATTAGGCGGAGAGATAGTATTTCACGGAGGGTAACTAAGTGCCTTAGCTCGGGCTACATTACATTTGAAAAAAATGTTGATTTTAGTTTGCATGGTCCTATTACTCGAACCCTAGCTACAATGTTCTAGACGAGCTTATCGATTATCCAACTCCCTATATGTGCCCCGTTTCATTTAAAAGTACATCTGCACTTCCATCTTCACGCGCGTTCTTACCCAACTGACTCATGTGAACCGCTAATGCATTCGCGCGCGCACACACGCACATACGTACGCACGCACACACGCACGCACACCCTTAACTTATCAGCTTGCCTCTCGTCCCTCCTCCCATCCCCTATCTCCTCCCCTTCATCCCCCCCCTTTCTCTCTATCGAATGCTCATCGTGGTTCACTCACTACACACTTTGGCCAACAAAGCTCCCCACATTCCATTTCTCGGGAATCCTTGCATGCTGCCGTTAGGATCTGCAATTTGTTTGTGGCTCATTGATTCCCACTATTTGGTAGCTCCAAAACACAAACCTCATTTCAGCTTAGTTTTCATTGCATCTGCTCTTGCTGCTAAATCATCTACTTTGCAATGCTCTTATCAGCCATTTTATTTTCAAATTAGTTGAGTTGTTGAAGAAAAAAATGGAGATTCGATGTACTCGTCAGGACATCTTGTGGATGGGAGGGGTGTGGGGGGGGGGGTTGAGTCGCAGGGACACGTATTTTCATAAAGAATGCGACTGAAGAGTCCCTTTTTTCTGATATCTTTAAAAATCTCTCTTTTGTGTCATAACGTCTTTCGTTGATACACCAAATCGGTCTCTTGTTCTAATCGTTCTGATACCTGGAGTTCACGCTAGTGGTGTGAGAATTAGCCAAATTATTGAGGTTCAACTTTGCTATAACGTTCGTTCTTGTCTCGTTGTACTCATGCAAACGTCGCCATCAAATGCTCAATCGAAGAGACATTAATATTGTGTGTAGATTTGGGATCATAAAACCGTAAAGATGACGTCTTTTAACTGCAGATCACACATTGTGGCCTCCCTGTGCTACTATTACTACTACTACTACTCCTAATAATAATCACAATAGTGAATAACGATAATTTCTTAAGGTCTTATTGCTTATACATGGAGTAGTTATTTTTTTGAGTAAAATAAATGGAGTGTCTTTGGTGGAGAAGCAATGTGAGTGGTTGATGTGACTTGAGTTAATTGGCATTTGTCGAGGTGTGGCATTTCGAGCCTGTGCCTGTTACTAGTTACGATCACCTAAATTTCTTACAATGTTTAATGACTGAATGAATGAATGAGAGAGAGGGTTGGGGAAGGACAGAAGAGTGTTTCAAAGACGTAAAAGTGACAGGCAGACACAAAGGTAGAAAAAAGGTGAGGTGAGCACTGTGGAAGTAGTCGAATATGACATACAGTGGGTTGATGGTAGTTTGAAGTGAGAAGTCAACTGCCGAGTTATAGACGTTTGTTGCCGTGTGAGTATACGTTGTCCAGGGTGCACCACGTGGAGGTAAGTCTATCGCACACCCCGCATTTTAGGGATTAAATTGTGACAAAATATAAATTTGCGGCTTCAATTCCATTTGAAATACTCATTGAAGGGGATTTAGAACACATTTTTTTAATTAGGAAGGAATGTGCTTTACTTTCTTTTGGTTTGATTTTTGCCTCCTCTTTATCCCCAACGTCTTCGTATTTCACAAGACGGGAGGATAAAAAGTGAGCCGATAGATCTTTGATTCTGCATCTGTACGCAAGTACTCGAGGAATGGAGCTTGAGCGTCTCTCTCTCGAATGTAACGCCCATTGTCAGTTATGTCGCCTAATTAAAGCCTAGAGTTTAATTTCAAAAATAATTGATCAGCCGGGCCTCTTTACACTTTCCTTTTTACTGTTTTATCTTGCAATTTCAAATCCAGAACGAAAATGACTCGACTGTTCAGCAGGAGTACTTCAAACAATTCAGCCTCCCCCTTCTCACTGATGCTCTCCATTACATTCTCCAATCAACTCTCTCTTCCTCCTCTTTTGATATTCATTCAAGCGGTAAGTTGAACGCCTGAATCCAAGCTGTCATCTTTTTTTTACATTA